GTCTTCCCGTGCCAACATGCCTCTAGGCAAGAAGGAAGAAAAGATAAACAGCTGTCATTGTGAACATCATACTCCAGTTGCAGGCCCTTGGACAGGAGGGTACTCAAATTGCCCAGTACCTTATGAGTAGCCTGTGACCTGGGAGTTGACCCGCCTTGCTTCCATGCCACACCTATGGGGGTGCTACCCCAGGCTGAAGGCAGAGACCTCCATGAAGGCAGCTCTCCTGTCTCTGCCAATGCAGTTAGTTCCCTGGCTCCACAGGTCTCAGCGGCCATCATACACGGGTGATGCATAAGTACCACTCACAACATCCCAAAGCTCTGACTGAAGGGAGCCAGTAACCCAGATGCAGGTATTTACCCGGATGATGTAGACCTGCCAGGCCTGAGGGATGAGAGAAAGACTCAAGTGGGCTCAGAGCTTTGGGAGGTAGAACCTGAATCATTTGGCATGGGTTTAAAGTGACCTGGAAGGGACCACAAGGAGTCAGCACCAAGTCCACAACTCGGTGGGAAGAAAACCCGAAAGGCAATGTTGTCTTGGGTCAGAACAGGGCGGGGTGAGATGCCCTGAGACTCTTTAGTAAAAATAACCCAGGAGGTGGTATCAGGAGAGGGGAGTGAGGCTGGGCTTTTCAAGTTCGTAGACATGTTTTGTAGGAGGAGCCACACACATAGATGGTGTCAGACAGAATACCCTATGAGCTAGAAGGCTGCAGCCCAAGGCGTCACGCAACAGCAGCACTGAAGGCCTGGGAGAGTCAAAAGGAAAGGGACAAGGTGCGACAGCCCCAAGGCAGTCTGTCCAGCCCCAAGGCAGTCTGTCCAGCCCCAAGGCAGTCTGTCCAGCCCCAAGGCAGTCTGCCCAGCCCCAAGGCAGTCTGTCCAGCCCCAAGGCAGTCTGCCCAGCCCCAAGGCAGTCTGTCCAGCCCCAAGGCAGTCTGCCCAGCCCCAAGGCAGTCTGTCCAGCCCCAAGGCAGTCTGTCCGTTGCATCCCTGGCAGCAGCTTCAGCCTCTTCCTGCGGTTACTGCTCTTTGCAGCTGGGTAGTTTGTTTGGGTTCAAGGAGTTCTGTAATTACACCTTATTTTTCTTTTGTCTTTTAATTATATATTTTAATTGCAGAAGTAATCACGTGCTTATTGAAACAAGCCAAACAACAGAGCTGTGGGTGAGAACCCTTCAACGGGTCCTTCTGAGCCATCTAACCCTAGTACGGGCACACCACGCATGTCTAAGCGCTTGTATACGCACCCCACACACGTCTAAGCTCTTGCATTCACACCCAGGCTGGATTTTGGCTTTGCATTGTATTGTAATGGGAGACTACACTATCACTCTTTTTTCTCACATAAGAGGTCATAGGCACGTACTTGATTCAATTATTAATTGCTGCTTAGTGATACTTAGTCCAGTTACTCCAGCTTTGTTTTTTTTTTAATCTAAATGCTCTTGAGACCACATCCTATTATGCCTTTCTTTTTTACTTAATTTTCAATCGGTTCCTATGTCATTAATGGTTCTTTGTAATCATAATTCCATTGGCTGCATCATATCCCAGAATATGAGGAAATCATCATTTACCAATTTGCTTTCTGCCAGTGGGGACTTGAAAAAATAATGGTTCAATGAGCATTACACAGCATCCAGCTGTGTCTTCATCTCTGGCTATTCTTTCCCTTAAGGATGTGAATACTTTTAGAGTCATTGTCCAGGCTACCAAATTGCTTTTTCCAGAAAAACTAACAGTCTGTTCCCACCAGCAATAACCATTAAAGGCTGCCTTTTTCTTTTCTTACTTCTGGTTAGACAGGAGTGGCACGCTGCCACTCAGCTTGCATTTTATGTTTTTATGAAGTTGATTTAATCATCTTTGTAAGTCTTGTCATAGGAACCATGCAAGCACCCCTCATTCTGGTTCTTTTCTCCCTCATTCCCAGCCCAGCCTTGAGCCTTCCAGAGCCAACATTGCCTCCAGAATGGCCCCTTCCCATCCTATTCCTGCATCCCTTGTCTCTGTTCACTGATATCATCTGTCTCCCTATAGCCCTAAACTAGCTGATTTCTTCTAACTTCTGTGCCTAGGGGCATCCCTTGTTCTGTGTGCAGAGGCCCCAATACCAGAGAATAGAGCAACCAAGTCTGAGCCTAGAATTTTGTTGGGCGCAGACATCAGGCTAGGATTAGTGTTGACAGGCAGCAGATGCAAAAGGAGCCTTGCTGCTCTGACCTTGGTTCAGGAAGAGTGGGAGTCGGGGCCTCTGCGCCCTATCTACTGGGCTTCACACAGCCCTCTCATCTTTTCCTCTTCCATTTTCCTTCTCTCATTATTCTAGTTCAGGCTTTAATTTTCACAAATGATACAATTTGGATGTTTGGAGTTTCTGCAGAATGCCTGTGATCCTCCGAGCCCTGGGGCCTGTTTGCCGTTGTTGAGGAGGGACCCTGGATGCTCTGCAGGCCCCATCAGACTGTGGTAATAGGCAGGGGCTGGTAGGCTGAGGGGTAAGGCCCGTCCTCCATAGTGAGACTTCACAGAAATCCCGCTGGAACTTTCTCTGCTCTTGCCCTGTCTTCTTTCCTTCATAATGATGAATGGCTGAAAAGAAAACTATCTAATCTCCAAACTGCTGGCTTTTTTCCCCTTCTCTTTCTTCAAGGAGAGGAGGAAGAACACAGTCACATAAAACAGAGTCCTTCATCGCCCGCTCCTCAGGAGACGCTCATTCCCTTTTCATCCCGGGGGGCCTGTTTCTGATCTGCGATGGGCTCACATTGAAAGTTCCAGGCTGGCCCTCTCTAATCGGCTGCGACAGACACTGCAGTTGCATGGGCTGCCCATTGAAATTGAATTGATTACCCGGCCCCTCTGCCATTTTGTTCTGCGCACGATTGCTTAATAGCTGTCACCTTGGCTTTCAGTCCCAGCCAGCTTGGGGCTGACTGGTTCCCATTACTTGAGATGGCCAGTGCAAGTTCACCACCCTTTACAGGATGTCCCTGATTGATTCCGTATGCCTTGGAGACCTGTGAGAGATTTGCATAGGGGTTGCTGGGGGGGGGGGGGGGAGTGGTGGTGGTGGAATAGAAGCCTTCAGGCCACAGAGGCTGCCAGGTTTTTGCTGTGGGGCTAGCCATGTTTGCCATGTTTGAATCATTACCTGAATGCGTCTGGCCTCCGCTGACATAACTGCTAATGAATTTGTAAATTTTGCAAAACTAGAAAACTTAGCCTGTTCTAACCTTGGCTGTCACCACCTGCCCCCGCCCCACCACCACCATTGGGGTCTACAAGCAGAAACTGCTTTTCTGGCCTGAGCTTGTGCAGGCCTTTGAAATGAGTCTCTCCCTCCCTGCCACCCCCGCCCCAGCGGGCAGGAAAGCCTGACTTGGAGGGAGACATCTTTCAAGTAAAATCCTTTGCACTGGGAACTACTTCAATTAGACGGCAGGCAGAATGTTAACATGCCCTTCGGCCTTTTAAGTGGGTTTTAATTTTATGTTGTAAGATAAGGCACTGCAAGGCCAGGCTGCGTTTCTTCTAGCAGGCTCCATTAGAGGGGCCAGGAGAGGCCTCTTGACCCCCCTACCCCAGGCCCTGCTGAAGCCAGAAATCGCTTTGGTTTTTTAGCAATTTGTCAGTCTGACCCAGCTTCTCTTTTGTGATTCTGGACCTGCTGTCACTGAGGGCAGTCCAGTGGCTGATCTTCGAGGTTGGAAAACCTCTAGCCTTGGCTGGAGCAGAATCCAGAGAGCCACACGATCATGGCCACATAGCTGAGTGATAATCGGCTATTTTTTCTTCCCCAGCAGGGCATGGTAGAAGCAGGCAGTGTCATGTGGCAGGCTTCTGGGCTGATGATGTATGACCTGCCGGCGCTACTGAATGCTGCCCTTTGTTCCAAAAGATCCCATGTGCCCCCTTTTTATTGAGTTGTTGATTCAGAGGGGCAGGAAAAGTTCCACAAATCCCACTGCAGGTCCTGCTCTTGCTATGCCCAGGTGGGGCAGCCAGGGAAACTCCAGCTTCCCAGAAAGTCAGGACTGTGTGAGCTGTTTCAAGATCGAATACCTCTTTGGGAACAACTTTCTCTTACTCAGTTAAGTAGGTATTTTGAGAAAATCTAGGAAAATACTCCCAGCCCTACCAGTTCCAGGTGAGGAGTGTCCTGGACGGGTACCATCTGTGGAAAGGAATGAGCAGGGCCTTGTGAGCTAAGAGCCACCGTTTCTGTCTCTAAGCTAAACCAAGGTTTTTCTCGGTGGCTAAACCTTGGTGGGCACCAACAGGTAAGGGAGTACGAGGGAGGCTACCCAGTGGGAGGCCCCATAGAGCCACAAGGAAGGGTGCAGACAAGTTTCTGAGCAGGAAGTCTTAGTCCTGATGAAGAGGCTTTAGAAGCATCCCTCTTCTTGCCTCTTTCTCCTGGGTTCCAAGACCATCTTCAGTGGAGGCCATGGTGATGGAGAAAATGCCTTAGGGGATGGATGAGCCATGGGGATGAGGGCTGTGCTGGTCCACTTTTCTTCATCTAATGAGAGAAGCCCAGGTTGGATTTCATCTCCCCCAAACCATCCACCTTGAGGCCAGGGACTCACTTCATACCCACGAGGATGAAGGTGGCTGACACACTCACAGTGCCAGGTGCTCCAGGAAGCCCAGACTCTGGCTCAAACCTGCTCTGTAGGTATTTTTCTGAAGTACACACATGCCACTAAGGAGTCTCTACTTCCCCCAAACTGCAGGGCTGTGCTGACTGCCTGCTCTACCCTGCTCTACCCCTCTCAGGTCTTTGTGAGCCCTGGAACACAGCCCCGTAACCCAGGGAGTATCATGGGACTGAAAGCACTTGGAACTTCCTTCATTCTGAGGACACATGGTGCGAACAAATGCTTAGAGGCATTGAGGGCCCCACCAGACACTTGAAGGAAGAAAAAAGGGAGAGGCAGGCCCCACTGCCAAGCAATAGCAAAACATTAATAAAGGACAAACACACACTTCACAGTTGCAAGATGACTTTATGTTCCAATATGCAAATTAAAATGTCCATGCTACATACCAAAACACTTGGAAGTTTCATACCAACTGTCAGCTAATGTGTTTTCTAATAAAGCTTTATCTGTAGTGTGTGCATTTATAATATATATATATGTTATATCTAAACCATTCTTAGATAACATCAAATGTAATAAAAATTTAAATAGCTGTCTTTCCAAATACTGCCTCCAGCATTCATTTTTGGTAAGTTTATTCATAAGAAGCAAAGCTGAATTAGACATGTGGCCCGCATTTGTGAGATATAGATATATTTATTTATATATTTATTTATATAATATTTAAATAGCTATCCAGCATGCAAAGAGTTTAGTGATTTCCAGATTCTGACTGAGTGTTCACACCAGCCACCCTGACACTCTGGTGATGTCCGATGCTAATGGACTGAGTGTGTGCTCTCCTCGTTGCCCACTCTGAAAGAACTATCGGCTCCTCTGAGCTGGAACGCCTAAGTTTTTTTCTCAGCTGCCCGTTTCCTTCTGCCAGCTTTCTTGTTCCAAGGATGTAGATTTTCTGGGAGCAGAATGGGTCCAGCAGACGTGTAACATCAGTTCAGGTGAGACCTCCACGGGATGTTGCCAGGTGAGGTGTGTTTGCCTGCCCATCATAGGATGCAGATGGTATCTAGCAGGCTGAGGGGCCACATGCTGGGACTGGGGGGAGGAGCTCTGTACTTTATTATGATGAAACTTGAATGATTACAGAAATACTACTGGTGCATTTTCCCTCCTCTCTGAGGAGCAAGCACCATGAGGTGACATTTAGCACATGACCCTGTCTGAAAGGCATGCCTCAGACCCTGGAGCTTCAAAATCCAAGTCCAGGCTGATGTTTGCCCAACCCTACTGTCACAGCACTCTAAAGCTCAGGTAGTCTCATACAATCTCCACAAGCAAAGGGGGGGGGGTTCCCAGGAGTGGTGGGTAGCTCCCCCTGCAGGTGGAAGGCCAAGAACTCTAAGTAAGCACAGATACCCCCAGCAAAGAATGGCCCTCCTTGTGCCAGAGACCTCAGCTGGCCCCTGAGTAAAATCAGAGTATATTTCAGAAGCCTCTAGATAACTCATGAGCCCCCCACTTCTATCCCACCCAGGGCGTGTCAAGAGATGCCAGGTAGCAGTGGACTTGGCCCCGGAAGCCAAAATTACTTCTTAGATAACTGTATTTTTTTCTTGTCTTGGCCTTAGCTGCATGTCAGAAGATAGATGCTCTCCAACCACATACATGCATGTAGAAGCACAAGCATGTGCACGCCTGCGCGCGTGCAGACATATGTGTACACACACCCACACACACATGCACACACGCGCGCGCACACACACACACACACACATGCACACCTTCTGAAATACCTTCCCACGTTTCTTGGCAGTGCCAGCCATCCACAGAGGTTAATACTGGATTGACATGGTCCTGGGGCTGTGAAGGGTACAGCAGTTACGTCATCCATCAGTCCAGTTCTCCACAGCCCCCACTCCTGAATGGTACTGTAAGGATGACTCTCGGGTCAGGGAGAAGCTCTGTGAGTAGAGGAACTCATTGGCAGCGTTCAGGTGTGGTGAGGGCGGCTTCCTCTCACACACTGCAGGGAGGCCACGCTCTCTAGGGAAGGAAGCAGACGGCCCCCGCTCTCGGACCTGAGACTGGGACAGCTGGTTGTACACACTGAAGTGGGCATTTCCTGGCGGCTGGGCACTCTGGGCAGAGATGGTGGGCAGCCGAGGCATCATCGTGGTGGTGGTGAAGTGCGTGGGGAAGGGCTGGTAAGGCACTGTCTCCATGGTTTGAACACTGTAACTGGTGTACGGTGATACCGACGTCCACATGTTACAGCTCAGTGGGGGTGGGGGCAAGTCATCCACGGCAGACACCCCCGCAATCTCAGGCCCTGAACTGGAGTACATGCAGGCCTCTCTGGGGGTCACCTCACTGCAATAGGAAGGGCTCAGCATCTGCTGGTCGTAGGGAGGGGGTGAGCGGAAATAGTGATCGTCTCCCACCGAAGAGGGAGTCTCCAGATATGATCGCTTGCAGGGTAAGTCCAGGTGGCGGGCACTGTCTGCTGGAAGACAAAGAAGTGCTTAGGAAGGGGGTTCCCAGCAGCCCAGGGCCTGGTGCACCCGCCCACCCCCACATGCCAGGACAGCCTGCCCTTTTCACTCAGCACCCGCCCTGGCCCCATGTTGCCTGGTACTCCCAGAACCTTCTGAATCAGCTGCAGCTTTTATAAGGTGACGATGTCCAAGAAGCGGTCAGATTATGGACCCTCGTCAAAGGCCACAGGGGACACCACATTACTGGACACTGAGGGATGCATTGCATCAGACAACACAATGCTCTGATCCCTTGCCAGCCTGACTCTCGGGATACTGAGAGGCCCTTATGCACACTGCCATTCTCGGGCTAGCCCAGCCTTGGCCCAGGAAAGTGCCAGGCAGAGCCAGGCCCGGAGACCACATCTGTCAGAACTCGCCAACAAATTAAGGCCTCAGCCCTCAGTGCCTGCGGAGAGCCTCAGGAAGGGGGCCGTGGGCCAAAGAGCTTGTAGGCAAGTTTTTGCTGTTTTGAGAAAAGCTTAACCCTACTGTGTTCAAAGAAGACACGTCTGTGGTTGTCCCGCCAATCCCAATCTGACAGTCTTCACACAGCTGCTGTACTAGTGACAAGGGAAAAGGCTGAACGTTCAGGCTTACTTTGACACCATCTGGAAAGATACCAGCAGCCACCACAAACCACATCTCTGCATCTTCCACACCCCACCCGCACCGACTGTGTGGGCTCAACCCTCTGGAGTGAGATGTCTTCCCCCAGGGCCCAGGGGTAACTGAGGCTTGAGGGCTGGAGCAGCAGCCTTCTCCCCTGAGACTGGCCTCTCTCCTGTGCTTGCTTCTCTAGGGATCCGTGTATACAGAGCCGGGCAGCCTGAAGGAAGAGGGGTGGAGCCCCTAGTGCCTCTGCAGACTAGTTCCTGGCTGCCAGGGGTACTTACGCCTCTCCTACTTCCTCCCCTGACTAAATTCCTGGGATTGGCCGGTGACCCAGTCACTCTGGGTCAGGAAGGAGCAAAGGGCCAGACAGGTGGTACAGGCCTTAAGGCCATCAGTATGTGCCACAATTACTCAGTTTTGTTGCTGGCTTATGAAAGCAGCTGTGGGCCAAGTATGGGTATAGATGAGTTCCACCAAAGCTTTATTTACGGATACTAAAATTTGGCTATTATGTAATAACATGAAAACCTTTTTGAAATATAGAGTTATCAGGTCTAATGACCCAAAGGCCATTTCTGACCTCCAGGGGACCAGGTTATAATGGGACTTGCATCGAGGATACTTGGCACTCTGCCAGGCTTGTCTCCAGGAGTGGGCCAACAGAATGTTCTGGATTTTATGCAAAAATCCCCAGACTCACTCCAAGAGAATTCTGGGGACCTACGAAGGCCTCTTGGCAAGGTAATACTAGCCATGCCTGCATCTGTTTGTGGAAAACAGGGCTGGCAGCAGAGCCTGGATATGCTGGTTCCCAGGCCAGTGTTGTAAAGAAGCCAAGTGCCCAGCCACTCATTTCAGTTTCCAAGAAGCCCGTGTGCATCATTAAGGGCTGGGTGGAGAGCACCAGACAGGTATTGTGGGTTCTCCCTGCTCTGCGGCAGAGACTACCAATAATCCAGCTTCCTTCTAGGCAGAGCAGAGCAGGAGGAACCCCATCCAGGCTCCCAAACCAACATCTGGGGCTCTGGCCAGCATACTTGGAACACCAAGAGCTGTCTGAGGATCCCCAAGGCCACACAAAAGTGAGCACCAACATGCCTGCCCATAGAAAGGTGGCTCTGGCCTGGCCCAACCCTCAGGCACATCCCAGAGCCCTACCTCTGCGCTTCAGGCAGTGGTAGAAGAGGCTGGAGTCCCTCTGCGTTGAGAAGGTGTTGAGGGGCAGGTCCTGGGGCTCTGCAGCAGCAAACTGCATGTGGGCCCCATTCTCATACTGGTAGTGCTGCAGGGCCTGGTGTGCGCTGTGCAGGGGGCTGACATCTGGCTTAGCCGACAGCTGGCTGGAGACGAGCCTCTGCCTCATGATGCTTTTGGAGATCACCGGATACTCCTTGCTGGAGGAGCAGGGAGAAAGTGAAGATGCTTTGAAGGTTCCGGGCTCTTCCCGTCCCACCCCTGGCCAGGGCAGTCCCACCTCTGCAACCGGGCCACACGCAGGTCACTGTCATCACTGCCCCGGAATCCCTTGGCAAAGGGGTTGTTCTCAATTTTCAGCTGTGTAATCTGTCAGAAAAAGGACACACAGAGTCACTGGAAGGAGAGAGGACAGGCTGGCTTGGTAGATCTCCTCTGCCAACCCAGGCCTAATGAAAACCTAGGCATGGCCTGCCTGGAGAAGCTACATTACAGCCCTAAGCCAGCTCAGGGTCCAGGACCAACAGGGTCTTCCTTGACCTGGCTGCTCACTGGGAGTAGCTTGTCCCAGGCTCTCTGCTCTATTTGTTTCAGCCCTTCTGGTGCTTTCTGCTAATCCCTGTGGCAGCTTCCTGCGTATGTCAACCCCCCTTACAGACTCTGAGTGACTGCACATCTGACTTGGTCATACTTCTAAAATCCACCCTAGCCTATGACCAGGAGTCAGGAAGGAAGGGATAGGCACAGGCCAGGGACCCAGGTTCCTCTCCCACTAGACCAAATATACCTACAGGGAAGAGTCTAAAAGAGAAGAGCCCAAACCCCAAGGCAGACTCCATGCCTCCAGTTGCTGGCCACGGCTCTGTCTTCCCGGGCTCCTTGGTTTAACTCCCTGGCTGTTTCCCGGTGTGGCAGCCTCACTATCCATCCGTACTACACTGCTTTTCTGCTCATCACTTGATGTGCCCGCATCAGCACCAGCCTCACTCCGCCTCTGGGGCAGCAGGCAGGTTGGCTGGTGTTCCAGTGCTGGTTGCGGCTGCCATACCTTGTGGTTCTGATAGGAGGTCACGGAGATGAAGGAGGTCTCTGGGAACACATGGGTGCAAAAGGCTGTGTTTTTTGAGCCAAAAGCATTGTTCTCATCTGCCTTAACGATGTGCAGCCGTGGCTGGTACTTATGCATAGAGTTGAGGATGATCTGTGGAGAGAAGGTCTTGATCTGAGCCCCAGACCCCACCCCCAGGACCTGGCTAGCCTCTTCCTGAGAGCCTAGGACCCAGTCCTGAACCAGTCTCAAAGCTCCCAAGTAAAGGAACTGGGGTCCCAACTCCATCCTCACAGCCTCACCTCTGTTCTAGAGGCCCCTTATCCCAGCTTTTGTGGTGTGGGGTGGTTTCATTGTGACCATCAAGGGAAAGCAGAAGTCTGTAGAGCTGAGTGAGTTGGGGAACTGCAGGCAGAAGGCCAGGGTGCTGCTGACCCACTGACCTTAAGTCTCTCACCTTCTCTGGACCTCCCCTGTGAGATTAGTACACAGCCTACCCCCTTCCCCCAACCTACAGGTGCCCTGCCTTTCCTGGGACTGCCCACTCTAAGTGCTCAGCCTCTCACAACTGTCAGCAACTATGGTAAGGGTTGGTAGGACAAGAGAGGGAGGAGAAGCTGAGGGAAATGTCCTGCCCTAGCTTGGGAGACCAACTAGCTGTATGCTGCCCTTCGAGCTGCTCAAGGCAGTTCCTAGCCTGGGGAGCACTCATCCTAGACAAACAAAGTTCCTGAACTGATGCCTGGGCCTGCAGGACACCTTGAGCACCCAAGAGCAACTGGCTTGGGGATAGCGGTCAGCCTAGCTGACTGAAGCTTAGGGAAGAGCCCAAGATGCTTGGTCACCAGAGCCCAGGCAGAAACACACGGTAGTTAACTGCCCCAAAAGTGCTCCATACGGCTGTGCCCCCACAGTAGCGGCTACATCAGGTGCCATTAAAATGCATTTTTTATCATTGACATTTGCCAGACGCCCTCCCATTGGAGGCCGGACCAGGAATTTGGGGCATTTTATCAGCACTGCTGCGTCTGTTAACCCTTTGCTTTCTATCTCAGCTGCTGGCCCTCAACTCCTCTCCCCCTCCAAATGCTTTCCTCTGCCTAGGGGGGCAAGCCTTGCTGCTGCCTCTGTCGAATGAAATGTTTAACCCTTGGGTGGTCACAGTGCCAAGTGAAAAGGCCAGAGTTGGGCTCTTTCCTGGAAAGCCTTGCTTGAATTCTGAGTTCCTGAAGGTTCCACACTCATCCTCACCTGGAGGACTGGTGCAGGCTAGCTCGGGGCCTTTGCCTGCCCTAGGTTTTAAAGTTCACCTAGGGGGCTCTGGCCAGCCTTTCTGTCGTGTCCAGCAGCTGTTACCCTCTTGGGGGTAAGTGCAGAGCTTCCTGGTAGCCCTGGACAACTGAGCTCAAAACAAGGTAAAAGAACACACCCTTTCCTAGCAGCCAAGGATGTCCTCATATGGTAGAGCTGTGCCTTACAGAGCAGCTCAAGATTCTGTAAGGGATTCTGCCACCCTGTACAAGTCACCAAGGCACAGGTATGGGGGGAGGGACTGGCTCTGTTCCCTAAAGCCAGCAAGTGACTTCCTGGGAGGCAGCCTTGGAAGAGCACCAGGGGGTTCCTACCTCACCATGGTAGTTCCTGCGGCATTCCCATTCTCTCACGGCTAGTCCTGTCTTCTCTCCCTTCTGCAAGGACCTGAGCCTGTATGGAACCTCCCAGATCTGAAGCTTCTCACTCTGCCTAGCCTACACCGTGTGGCTTCCTAATTCTTCTTGACTCTTCAAACTACAAACTCACCCAGGGCTGGAATTGGGGGCTCACTTCCCAATACCACTAAAATGAACAAACTTCCCCAAGGAAAGGGTCCTATCTGTCATCCTTTTGCACCTCAAGCTTCTTGGCTGAGTGTATACAGAGCTGGGCCAGGCTCACAAACCTCTAGATTTTACTTTGCTCACCAGAGGCAAGTTAATCTTGGCATTTTTTTTCTAGTGGAAATGGCCTCTCACACCCAGTCCATGAAAGTCTTCTGTTCAGAAGGCCACCACTTCAACCTACAAGACAGTGTTCCTGATGACTTGGGTGAGAGACTTCCAAACACACCTTCCAGGGAACAGAAACTGCTGGACCTGCAAAGCCAGGTAGAAACTACTAGAAGATCAGTTCTCAACCTGGGGGTTGCACAACCCTTTCACAGAGGTCACCTAAGACCACTGGAAAACACAGATATTTACATTATGATTCACAACAGTAGCAAAATTACAGTCATGAAGTAGCAATAAAAATCATTTTATGGTTGCGAAGTCACCACAACATGAGGAACTGTATTAAAGGGTCACAGCATTAGGACAGTTGAGAACCACTGCCCTAGAGGGTACAACACGAGCCACAGAGAAGCCTTGCTGGTATCTCTCCACCAGCTCTAAGTTCTGAGCAAGCTCATCTCCAGACACTGGAGTCCTCGACCAGGTGGTCTCAAACACCCTTCAAGCTCTTAACAGTCTGGAACCTGTCTAGAAGGACCCCCATCCATCAAATCAATGGGCACGTAGATCTGAATCCCAGTTCTACCAGCCTGAGAAAATCTGAAAGCAATTGAGTGACTCACACACCTGGCTTTGGTCAGAAGTTCCTCAGGCACCATGTTCAGCTAATTTGCCAGAGTCCCACTTTCATATCTGTTATAGAGTGGTACCAAGCCAAATGGGCTAGCCATGTCAACCGCCCTACTACATGACTATCCCATCATCATCATTGCTCTACAGAAATGGGATTCATTATGTTCTGGCCACCATTCAGAAGCCTGTTCTATTTTAACAATTGCAATAGTGCCAAACATCCATCACAAGAGTTTACCATGGCGTGCTTTGCCACTGAGGTCGAGACTTATCCCCATTGGAATCCAAGAACTTGAGAACCTGGAACGGCAGAGTGCAGAGGGTGCTCTAACCCAGCCCCCTAGATCTACAATGAGGAACAGAAGGCCTGGAGTGGGAACAGGACTCGCCCAAGGACACACAGCTGGATGAAGACAGGCAGCCCAGCAGATTCCAGATGGTCTTGGGAAAGCACATCCTGCTCTTGACAAACTTCCTGACTAATAAGAAGGTGTCTGCTAGACTCCATAAGGGACATGGACCCCAGCGCATCTGTTGCGGAGACTAGCCACACAACAGCAGGCTGATGCACATTTTGTCACATAGGAAACCAGATTTACCCGGCATCCTGCACTTACTAAGGTTTCTTCTCCAACCCTGCCCAGATTAGGACATGGATAGGATCTGCAGCAGAGCGGACCTAGTGGTTTGTACCTGTGATCCCGAGACTTGGGAGGCTGAGGTAAGAGGGACCCCAAGAGATCAGGTCCAGCCTAGGCTGTAGAGTGAAATACTGTCAAAAAAGAAAGGGAAGAGAAATAAGAGGGTGGAAGAGAGAAAACTAAAAGGACTCAGGAGACCTTCAGCTAATTCAAGAAGCCTTGGCCAGAGAAGCCTTGGGTCTCACTCCCACGACAGCAACCTGGGGTTCTCACACATAGTCAGCAACCTTCCTGCTTTCTCTCACAGCAACAGCAATGACAGTCGAGGGTCAGGAGAAGGTAGCCTTCGTGCCAAGCCCCGGGCTAGGTATTTTACTTACATCATAATAATTAATCTTAACAAAGTCTTTACAAAGTCAACATCATTGCCATCCTCATTTTAGCAGACCATGGACAACATCAGACAGCGGAGCAGAATCAGGACAGACTCCTCAGCAGCACTTCCTTCTACCTACAGTGGAGGGGTGGCCTGATGAGTCCTGAGGTTTCTGTAGCTCCTAAGGCACTGGCAGGGACTTGACACACTGTCAGTCAGGAAATGGGGGTGACAAAGAGGGAAAAGAGACATAGGAGATCTATGGGGGGACAGAAGTCCCCGGCACAGGAAGGGCCACCATCCTATTCTGTGGGTTCATTACTCGTGTGGTGTCCACCAGCGCCCGCTAGCTCTCCAGGCATCCAGACACAATGTGAGACACACCTCATCACTCGAGTGGTGAGAAAATATGGCGGAAGAAGTCTGCGTTTAAGATGGTGACACCTGAGATGATGCCACCTGAATGTGCTCTGGAGGACAGGAGGTGACAGCAAAGCAAAGGCATTCCTCGACATCTTCCCAAAGGCGGTTTATAATTGAAAGGAATTACAGTAGAAACACGAGTTTTTTTCAGCCCCACATGCTGATCCTACAATTCACATGAAACACACACGCAACTCGACAAGAAAGCTAAAAAGAAAAAAAAAAGTCGAGCCAAGGGGACAAGCCCTGCCAAACTCTAAATGTATCAAGAAGTCTCAGCAGTTAGAGCAACTGGAACATGAATAGACAGATTCACCTGGGGACCAAGAGTGCAGAAGACTTCCTACCCCAGGGAAAGATGCCCCACCCCCACCAGTGTTGGAACAACCGGGTAGCTCTCTCAAAAGACAGAAAATTCAGAATTGACACCTCCCATCAAATGCTAGCATAGTTCTAAAAACAACCCTAGTTTGTACTTAAAAATAAATCCAGGGCTGGCAAGGTGGCTCAGTGGTTAAGGACATTGGCTGCCAAGTCTGACCACTTGAGTGTGATCATTAGAGCCCACATTAGTGGCTAGAACAGACTCCCCCCCCCCACACACACACACAGTGCACTCAGGAAGTTAAGGCAGAAGGATCATAAGTTTGAGGCCAACCTGGACTACACAGAAAGACTCTGAAAAGTACTGAAGCGAAGTTCCCTAATAAAGAAGAAATGACTGAGGTCTTTCCAGACCTATAAAGGAAGAAAGGATAAATTCAATCAAAAACTTCTGCCAGGGAAAACCACTACCACCATGGGCCAGATCAAGTGACAAACTGGCCAACACATTAGACGGGACCTAAATCTCTCATTTGTAAAAGCTCCTAAAATTGATGAGCTCAAAAAGCCGACAGGAATGGGGAGGGGGAAATCACATGGGCTCTGTGTACAAGGGGATCTGTGTGAAAGATGGCCAAGGAGAAGGGAAGGGATTAAAACGAAAATTGGTACCTGCAGTTCGCCTGCCAGACTGTCAGGTCTCTAACAAGCTGGGGCTGAGGAATGGCTCCGTCAGTACAGCCATGAGAACCCAAGTTTGCTCCCCTG